CATTCAGATGCACCATGGATGCTACTCACTTTTCTTTACTTTCAGAAGCACCATGGATGCTACTCGCTTTTCTTTACTTTCAGATGCACCATGTATGCTACTCACTTTTCTTTACATTCAGCAGCACCATGGATGCTACTCACTTTACTTTCAGAAGCACCATGGATGCTACTCACTTTTCTTTACATTCAGAAGCACCATGTATACTACTGGCTTTTTTAAAGGACCCAAAGGATCTTACCCCCCTTCTAAAATAACAGTTACTTACACCATTACATTTTCTCCAGCAATTTGCGCTGTCGGAACAACACAAATAAAGTCAAGTTCCTGATTGGTGGTTCATCAAACCCCATGACATGCTCAAAAACATTCATCATACATTCATCAATGTGTCTGAGGTTAGTAGGTTTTATACAAGTTTTTGTCTGCAATATGACAACTTTTTCATTGCATAGTAGTTCGCATAATATGGTTGGCGATCGCCAAATCCAGACTACAAATAAAAGAATTGATCTATTGGAAGAGATCCTGATTTTTTTTGTTCTTTACAGGTCTGTCGATTCGGCTTTTCCTCGGCCATTGACCAGTAGTTAACATGCCGGACTGTTGATCAAGGGCTCCATGGTTCGCATTAAGTTAACATAAAAAAAAAAATGGCGCTCCACACTTTGGAGCTGTGTACGCGTTATAAGAGTGACAGTCAAATCCTGCTATCCGATTAGAATAACGCATGAGTTGACCCTAGTCTGGCACAGATCACCGTCGAATAGCTTTGTGCGAAACTCAACAAACAACATATACCAACAGTTAAGAGCATTAGGCTAACAGGACGCACCTATGAATTAATTTACAAATTATAGGCCTAATTAGGATTTTTTTTATAGAAACTGAATGTTTCGTGGCCTTAGGTTAAACGAGTGTGTCAGTGTCTGAACTATGTATGTGATAGAAAATTCGGGTATTTTTATTTCGAAGTAAATACTGATTGAAAAGTATTACTTGAAAACCTCCAAGAAGGTTATGAAGTCCATGTTGTGCTATTATCACTGTTTAGGTTTGGTTTCTGTTCAGTTTCGCGCAAAGTTACACCAGGGCTATCTACGCTAGCCGTCCCTAATTTAGCAGTGATAGACTATAAGGAAAGCAGCTAGTCAACATCACTCACCGCTAACTCTTGGGCTACTCTTTTACCAACGAATAGTTGGATTGGTCGTCACATTATTGAAAGGGCTTGCATGTTCGGTGAATGGGATTCCAGCCTGTGACCCACAAATTGCGAGTCGAGCGCCCCCTAACAACTTGGCCTACAGTTTAGAAGCAGGTTGTTTGTTTTTATTGTTATTTGTGCAAAACTGCTAAAAACTCCTAAATAATCATGTTGTTATAATTTACTGAATTTTTATAATGAATATTAGTTTTTATAAATATATCTAAAAGTCAACTATTAGCAAAAAAATAATAATAATAATAAATCAAGTTGAAAGTGCAGGTAAGGTAAATATTTTAATGTTTTTATTTTGAACTTCTTAGGCCTCACGGGCACGAAGAAGTGTTTTATGTTAAATGGAAAATAAGTTGTTAATTGTACGTTCCAAGTTAAGTTAACGTTCCAGAAATATATATCCTATTTAGTAAAGTGCAAGCTGATTGATATATAGTTTGGTTCAAATATTTATGCAGTTATTTGAAGTTTCCATTTTGGTATAGAATTTCTTAACTGTGTTTTACACCGTTTGAATACCTAATCCTGTTCACCATTTTCGCCAACTGTGTTGCGTTAGCTGTCTACACTCCATACCCTAACAGCGACTCTAACAAAATAAATCATTACCTGGTAAGTACACGTTGTTTTAAGTACATGTGGTCATTTATAAGTTAATTATAAAGATTCAAATTGGAATAATATTTTTTATTCGGTATACATGTGGATATTTTAAAAATATATTATGATAAATATTCAAATTAGAATAATAATATTATTTATATTCAATATACTTATGGCTATTTGTAAAGTATATTATTATAAAGCTTCAAATTAGAAACTTCACAGCTGTATACCTTAACTTTATTAATTATTTAAATCACTTCTTTACACATAATTTTTAAATATTTGGTGGTTGACCTTACAAATCCCAACAACAGACACAAAAATCATTAAAACCATTGGATGGGAAACATTTAATACAAATTTGGACAGAAACTCTTCTGAAACACAGCTAGGAATCGAAATTAATATTTTTTATGGTTATCGTTAAAACTGAAAATAAATACACAATAAAATGCATATATATATTCACGAATTTGTTTCACTTTCTGCAAGAAGTGTCCTAATCTCATTAGAGGTGTCCTTAGAATGATTCAATGTTGGAATTCTTACAGCATTTTACTGGCTATTAGTCGTTATAGACCATAGTCTATAGGACGTTTTGAAGTCGAATATACAATTTCATCATACTTTTGCAACCTTATTAACTGAAACTAAGCCTAAAGAAAGAAATTACATGTAGTTTTTTTTTTTTACATTCTAGCTATAAAAGTTGATACACGGCTACATGTTGAATTACTTTCTATTTGGTTCGTTATTATTTCCAGCACGTTTCACTTACCAAAGAAAAAAAAAAACGGAACATTCATTGATGTGTTTCTCTTGTGTTATAGAATAAGATAAATGTTTGGATTAGCTGGAATTTTCTCTTTATTGTTCGAAGGTTCATTCTCATAGTAGGAGATGCTGTAAAAGTTCGCTGTCTGGATACGATTCAAAGCGCCCTTCCAGAGTTTCTAGTTGATCACAACTAATCTAGTCCGAGACCAAATTTTTCTTTACTTCATAGCCTTTTTCTTCGTAGTTAACAACAGACTGGCTTCATTAAGCCGATAAAAAGACCAGCCTCAGCAGATGCTGTAAACAGGCTGTTATGATATCACTAAATGACAAATGGTCGTAAGGCTAGCTTTAACATAAAAAATAGGCAGTATATGATAGATTGTGTGAACTGTGTGACTTGGTCACTAAAGGTTATTTGTGATGCATTCTAACCATTTATAAGCTACGAGAAACTCTATACTGCACCAGAAAGTGTTTGATAATGTACAAAAATCATAAAGACGTATAGTTTATGTAATATATCATATATTAGTGTGGTATTTATAAAAGAGGGGTATTTATATGTTGTTATGACAGCGGAAGTCACGCGACGCTGCAGTTTCTAGAAGGATCATGACTTATCGAGAAACCCCGCGAATGTCCGAGTGTTTGCCAGGCGCCCTCTTTTTTAGTATATAAGCCCGACAAATAAAGCCAGCTAGATATATATATGCAGATAGATATAACTGAGTCAAGCAAACAGTAGGCACCGTAAGTAAAGTGTGTGAATCACTGTGATTTATAGCGTGTGTTATAAAAGTTGTTAGGTTTAGAGTGACGAGGTACGTACTCACTGTGAAATTACTGTGTATTAAAAGTTTGTATCGAGGAAGAATAAACTGGGTTAATCAAGAAAAGACTTGTATCGCTGAAGTTTCTCGGAAAGAATTTATACCGGAAATTAACAAACAAGCAGATACGTAACAATATGTTTGTAAAATAAACGCTGTCTAGGCTTAACGTGCCTTAAAATTCCTTTTGATTTGGATTTCTTAATTTCTTTCAATGATTGACTAATTTATTTACTATATGACTTAGAAAATCTTAATATAATCTCGATTATTAAAAATCGTTATAAACTGTCATTTTTTTGCAAGCGAGAATATTTACGGTTAATGAAGATTTTTTTTTTTTTTTTGCAAGCGTGAATGTTTAAGGTTAATGAAGAATTTTTTGTGTGCAATTCTTTTTAAAGCTAATTATTAAAGACTGAAGATGTTTTGGTAGTGGAGTTATAATAGAAATTTATGAACAAATTATTATACTTCATGAACTTTTTAACCACTGAAACTGCTGTTACAGATATATGTCGGTAAGACTATGTTAGTGCTATTTGTTTTTACTAGAGATGCACGGGTAGTAAAATTTCGCCAAATACTTTTATTGGACGCTCTGAGAACACAGCAGTAGATCTGAAGGCTTAAAATGTTAAAAACTGCGTTTCGATACCCGTGGTAAGCACAGCACTGATAGCCCATCGCGTAGCTTCGTGCTTAACTACAAACAAAACCTTTACTGGTATATTTGTCAAATATATTAATAAGGGATGAACAACCCCTGATTTAAGTGCATTTATTATTCTTAAGCTTTTATATAGCTAAGTTTCTGTGCATTTCTATCCGTTTTTTGTTTGTTTCGATTTTAAGATCAGAATATGTACTGTTACGTATCTGCTTGTTTGTAAATTTCCGGTATAAATTTTTTCAGAGAAACTTCAGCGATACAAGTCCCTTCCTGATTAAAACTAGTTTATTCTTTCTCAATACAAACTTTGTAATACACAGCATTTCCACAGTCA